GCTGCAGGGACACGCTTCAGGGACACACCACGGGGACATGCCATGGGGACACGCTGCAGGGCCATGCTGCAGGGACACGCTTCAGGGACACACCACGGGGACATGCCATGGGGACACGCTGCAGGGCCATGCTGCAGGGACACGCTTCAGGGACACACCACGGGGACATGCCATGGGGACACGCTGCAGGGCCATGCTGCAGGGACACGCTTCAGGGACACACCACGGGGACATGCCATGGGGACACGCTGCAGGGCCATGCTGCAGGGACACGCTTCAGGGACACACCACGGGGACATGCCATGGGGACACGCTGCAGGGCCATGCTGCAGGGACACGCTTCAGGGACACACCACGGGGACATGCCATGGGGACACACTGTAGGAATACGCTGCAGGGACAAGCCACGGGGACACGCTGCAGGGACACGCTGCAGGGACACGCTGCAGGGACACGCCGGTCCTCACCTGCTGCAGGACAAACAGGCCGACACTGAGTGATGAGCAGGAGAGTCAAACATTAAACCTCAAACCGAGCATGAATGAAGGAGCTGCTGCAGCCGAACACTCTGCATCAACTCCAAACAGGCGAAGAGTCGGGGGGGGGGTCCTCATCTGGACTGACAGGACCAGGTCTTTGGACCAAACCTCAAACATGAGTTTTTATTTGTGCGAGGACCTCAGGTCTTTCTGTTTGTGTTTGGATCATTGACTGCAGCGGTGCTGGTTCTACCTGGTGCCTCAGGTGTGTTTCACTCCCTGACTTCCTGAGAAAAACACCAGCGTGCAGCTGAAACGGTCCAAGAAGAAGACTTGTCCACAGGAAGTCTTCATCCAAAGACACAACCAGAAAGATTCACTTAATCAAAGCAGTTTTTAGAGTTTTAGAAATATCTGAAATGATTGAACCTCTTGGTTTTTGTTCAGAGGCTGCCTGGTTCTGTCACAAACTGGGACACGTTGGAAAAATGGATCTTCCATAAAGAAGGATGTAGTGGAGGATGTGTGGGTCTGTGCTGAAGCTTGTCCACCTCAGTGAGGCTGAAGACGTGGGTTGAGTTAAGCTCCGCCCCCTCCCTCAGTTATCAGCGCAGCTCATTAATTGTTGTAATTCTTCTTCCTGTGAGCAGCGAGGGCTGATACGAGCTGACAGCCCTGACTCTCACAGCCTTTAGCCTTCCTGATATGTTTGTACGTTTGCTAATCGAGAGCATTAATCACTTCAGGCGGTCGCCTCCTGACTGCTGGCTGTTTCCTTATCTGAGCTGGAGGGTGTGGCCAAACACACCTGAGGCTGGTCTGGAGTTCTCAGAAACCAGAAGCAGTCAGGCCACCATGAAGTCTCCTGTCTGATCTGTCTGCTGTCTTCTTGTCTCTGTGTGTCGCACTCATCCTCCTCTTCATCCTCTTCATCCCAGGATGACTCCTTCAGCTGGATGATTAGCACACTAAAGCTCTGGCCCTGAGTGTTAGTGATGCTAATGTGAGGCAGAGAAGTCCTTTGAGGAGCTCTCTGCAGGTCTGTTTGTACACCTGCTGCTGCTGGAGAGGTTCTGGGTGTGTGCACRTGAGTGTGTGCACGTGAGTGTGTGCACGTGAGTGTGTGTGTGCATTTGTGTAAACCTGAGGAGGAGATCTCATGACCCAGCTCTAACCTCATGATTTTATCACCTGATCTAAAGTAGGAAACCAGGTTAGCTCATTGGCTAATGACTGTTAGCATRTTTTACTGACAGGAGTGGATCATTTCCACTTCCTGTTTCAGTTCTGAAGGAAGAAACGTGTTTATTGAACCCTGAACCCTGAACCCCTCCTCAAACCCATGTTAGTCCTGGAAAGACTCTAAATCTGATTCAACTTAGAACTAAAACCAGATTTATTCAGTTCAGTGAAACCAGCAGAACTGCTGCCTCATCAGGATCTGATCCTCATCGGAACAGGAGATCCACTCTGTGTTCTGCTACAGTTAGCTGGTGCCGGCCCAGAGGACCAGATCGGACCGGTCTCAGCGTGTCCTTGTGTCCTTGTGTCCTCGTGGACAACAAGCTGAAGCAGTTTGAGCAGGTGGAGGACCTGAGACTACAGAATTCAAACATGTATCAGCTCACTGGTTCTAACCCAATCTGGTCCACTGATCCAGTCCCCTGATCCAATCCACTGATCCAATGCCTCAATCTAGTCGCCCTTTTCTCTCACTTTGTTCGTCATTACTAGCATWAAAAAAATCATCCGGTCAGGCCTCAATGCATTATGGGATATGCTGGACCGGGAAGTATCCATCAGACCAGTCCTTCGATTCGGGCCAAAGGAAGGACACATTTGTCGGCTGCATTGTGGGAGTCTTCGGTTTTGGACGGCATTCGTCGTGGCGCTGTGATGGATGAGGATGACGAATTTGGCCTTCGGAGGACCCGGCCTGCCGTTTTGGATGCAGCCTATGTCCAACAGACCCTTCTACTGGTCCAACAGAACCTTCTACTGGTCCAACAGACCCTTCTACTGGTCCAACAGACCCTTCTACTGGTCCAACAGACCCTTCTACTGGTGCAACAGACCCTTCTACTGGTCCAACAGACCCTTCTACTGGTCCAACAGACCCTTCTACTGGTCCAACAGACCCTTCTACTTGTCCAACAGACACTCCTACTGGTCCAACAGACCCTTCTACTTGTCCAACAGAACCTTCTACTTGTCCAACAGACCCTTCTACTGGTCCAACAGACCCTTCTACTGGTCCAACAGACCCTTCTACTGGTCCAACAGACCCTTCTACTTGTCCAACAGACACTCCTTGTCCAACAGACCCTTCTACTGGTCCAACAGAACCTTCTTGTCCAACAGAACCCCTCTCTGGTCATTGTCTCTGTTTGTATTTTGCTCCTTCACCATCACAGGTTGTAACAATATTTGTCACAGTTTAAATAAAATGAATGAAACACCAAACCTGGATTAGGAAAAGTGGGATTAAACTTTGAGTGGAGAGAAGCTGCACAACATTGATAAAACTAACAACAAACACAAGAAAATACTAGTAATAATATATTTTATTTCATCAGGCAGGTTGATCCATAATGAAATAATATAAATCCTGTGTCTCTGTGTGTTGCAGTTATCCCTACAGTGAAGACAGCAGTCAGGGGAAGGAGTACATGAACACCCGCTGCCCCGCCTGGTGCGACAGGATCCTCATGTCCTCCTCAGCCAGAGACCTCTTCCTGAAGGTTAGTCCTTTATGCTACATTTACACTAAACGAGTTGTACACCTCCAAAAATCTCAAAACACATGCCTGCTGATGCTGGTGTCCAGTGAGGACAGATGTCTTTAGACGCTCGAGGAGAGGAGCCTTTTTAACCGTAGTTTTGATAACTTACCAAACAGGCCGACTTCCTTACTAATCGTCCTCCAGGTAAAGTCCTTTTTATTTCTATCATGATAAAGGACACTGGAATGATCATAAATGATTGGACTATCAGTTTTTCCTCCATTGTTTGTGTGATCAGATTTCCTGGGCTTCTGGTATTTCCGGCTCATCACCAGCACGTCACTGAACAGAGTCTCTGATTGGTTGATGCGATGAGTCGTGCATCAAAAGTTCAGATTTTCCAACTCGAGCATCGGACACTTTAAACGTGCCGCACCCACAGAAAACATTCATGACGTGTGTACCGCTTCGAACCACGTTGCTCAGCTTCTAGACGCCCCTAGGTGCAMGTTCACCAGTGAYWCTGCATGTAAACCAGACGCTCCTGATGCTCAAAACACGTTTGGTGTAAATGTAGCATTACTTTCATCACCACAGCTTCTGTTATCACCTGCTGATGATGGTTGGATAAATGGATGTATGGATGGATGGTGGTTGGATGATGGATGGATGGTGGTTGGATGATGGTTGGATGATCAGTTTGTGTTTGAGCTCAGCTCCTATCATCTTCATTAAAACCTCTCTGAGTCACAGATGGAAGCAGGAGGCGTCTGAATATTAATCTGAAGCTCTAATCCAGGCCGTCCCCCTCAGACTACATCTAATCCAGGCCTTATAGAGTTCAGCCGGGCTGCATCTTCTTCATCGAGCCTCATCTTCCTCAGAGGGTTGATCCCTGCTGGCTGAGAGCTGCTGGCTCCAAACTCAGCAGAACATCAAACAATCTGCTGCCTGTTCCTGTCAGAGCTGCTGTCTGTTCTCTACAGTGGTTCTTTAAAGATCAGCTTATCATCCAACCATCATCCAACCATCATTCATCATTCAACCAATTCAATGTTTTATGTGCTGCAGAACAGGAACCTGCTGTAAAACAGCAATTATGCTGAGTCGGGCTTGATTTTTAATAATCTTTTCCTGTTAAATAAATAAATCAAATCAAATTATCATCCAACCATTGATCCCTGCTGTCCATTCTCCACAGTGGTCCTTTAGATAAAGATCAGGTTATCATCCAACAATCATCCAACCATCATCCATCATCCAAGGGAATCTAGCCCTTGTTGACATATCATCCTGGGGAGTTTAGATAAGCATGGCAATCAAGGCCATGCTGCTGGGAACCAATAGATAAACATAATTTTTTGGGACAAAACAACCTTGAATTTTCAGCTGTTTTTAATGCCTTAACTACATCTCTGAAAGTGGCGAAAAAAAAACCTTCAATCAGCCGAATTCAGGGTCCTCTCGCCTCTTCACCATCTGAAGCTTCACCCAGATATAATCCTGCATGCCAGAGGCTCGCTCCTGAGCTGTGATCCTCGTCAGAACCACATCCAGTTTRTGGCTTATCTCCCCCAGCTGCTGAGTCTGTGTGCTTCCAGCCCGGCAGAATCCTTCCAACACGCCCAACAGCTTCTGAACGGCCTGGACCACTGTTAGGGTCGCTTTCACTTTTCAGTAAATCAGGACTCCGCCTCCTCTGATCAGCAGGAATCCAGTTATCGTAAATCTTAATAGATACAAATCTTCCACGTCTTCAATGGAAAGTGGTGCGAGACACATCAGGTTCCAGCCCCAAGAACCAGTGACCCGACCAGCAGCAACCATTCCACTGGGACAGCTACGTTCCCCTCGTTCCAATCTCAATTTGGGAAAAATCGTGTCAATTGTGTTCAGAGACCAGTTGACCAAATCCATAATTCTTTTTGTTTCAGATGGTAGGTGAAAAAAGTTTTGAAAGAGCAACAAAACAGGGTAGGAGGTCCGTCTCCTCTGAAGGCCAAGTGAAGAATCATCTGTTGTTTCCTCAGGTGTTATTAAAGCTTTGATCTCAGTTGGTAAAATATGTGAACGATAGTGATCATAAATCACTTTAGTGAACTTTCTGTGGATTGACTTCCATTTATTTTTTTGGTAATTTCATATCCTAACCCTGACCATTTACCCTAAAACTAACATAAACTCAATTCACACCTTAGTCCTAAACCG